AACAGACTCTGGCCACTGGGAAAACTCATCCAAACTGTTCTTTATCAAATTATTTGGTTATGTTTGATATTAACTTACTACATAGGCCTTGATACCCATGGACAAATATTAAACTGCTCCTAAAGCTGAGACTGTAAAAAGTTCCCAAAACAAGTTTGCTAAGAAGCTCTGGAGACAAGTTTCTGGAGCTTTATCTAAAGAACAATAGCGTCAGCCTTCCCGGATAGCTTCCAGGTGCAGCCCATTGACCTAAGCATCTGACTTCCTCCTGCAAACCTGGCCTAGGCCTCCGACACAGAGGGATTCCTTTCAATCCTTTTCACCTTCCCCCATTCGAGATTAGGTGCTATAGGTATGTTAATTAGCCTGGAGAAACCGAGTTGCTGCCCTGAGAATCGAACCTGAAAAGTACCATGTAATAATTTGCTTGAATTTCTGGAAAATTACGGATGTTAGATTATCAAGACAATTTGTGATATATGTTTTAGAATTTGTACCTGTAAATCCTTACGTCCTGTGTTGAATGATTAATCACATTTCACTTCTGTACCCCGTCTTAATAAACCCCGCCTTCCTTTGTGTAAAGCTCCTCCAGAAATAAAACGGAGGTGCAGACCCAAGCCTGCATGCATTACGGCTTGCAGGCCATGTGTTACAGCTTGCAGGCCATGCGTTACAACTGGCATGCATGGCGTTACAGCTGGCAAGGCATGCATTAAGGTTTGCAGGGCGGTGCTTTACTGCCTGCAGGGGCCACGATGCCAGTAGTCCAGGGTCTGCCCTCCAGTGTCGCATCCATTCTGGTTTCGGGGTGTTTTATGTTCTCTCTCTTTGCGTCTTTGTGCGTATTCTTTATCTGTCACTGTCGCCGCCAAATCTCCCTCCTTCGTGAACCGAACTTCCCTGTCGAGGCCAGTTCGCGACAGTTAATCACTCCCCTTCTTGCTACAAAACATCTACCTTTACATTTCCAACCCTTACAAGCAGTCCTGATAACAGTTATTCACTATTGTATCACAAGAGACCCATGTGCATTTCATTTCATTAGCCCTGCCTAGACAGACTGGATATTACTCA